TGGTTAGATTGCTTATTTTTGGGCAATTTGTGAAGTCACATGTTGAGTTTGCTTATTTATCTTAATAAAAACCTTGCGTAGAGCTATTATAAAAATTTTGACCTTTCTTGTTACCTATATATATATTGCTCGGGGTCCTAATCTATTGCTTCTATGGATTCTAGAAAATAATAAATAATTGTACTATACATTAAAGATCTGATTACCGATCTAGACCTAAGCCTAAAGACGAAATAAATAATAATGATAATATTCCATTTTAAAAAAACCTTTTCACCGAAACATAAACTATTGTTGATGGATTGAAATCAATATTTCACAAAAGACGGTAGTATTTCGTACTCAAATTATGTAAAATAAAAATTTATAGTTAAAATAAAACTGTAATTATATTTGCTTTAATGTAAAACCATAACTTAAATACATCTAACTTTATTAATTGAAAATACAAATGTATAAATTAAATAAAGAATATGAATTACTTTTTTAAGTTTTTCAATCTATTTTGAGCCTTTTGATATCCTTGTTTTGCAGATTTTTCAAACCAGTAAATTGCTTTATTTATATCTCTCTCAATTCTATCCCCTCTTTCATACATATAACCAATATTATATTGAGCAATCATTTCCCCTAAATCTGCTGCTTTTTGATATAATTCAGATGCTTTTTGTTTATTAACACTAGTTCCAATTCCACTACTATAACAATATCCTAATGCCATTATTCCCTCCTTACATTCTCCTGTTGCTGATTGTTTTATTAATTTAAAAGCTTTATTATAATCTTTATCAATCCCTTCTCCCTTTACATACATAATGGCAAGATTATTTTGAGCTAAACTATTTCCTAACTCTGCTGCTTTTTCATATAAATGAGCAGCTCTTTTTAAGTCTTTTTTAATCCCTATGCCTCTTTCGTAACAATAACCAAGATTAATAATTCCTATTATAAAATCCTTATTTGCTAATTTTTCATAATATTCAAAAGCTAGCTTTTCATTTTTTTCAGCCCCATAACCATATTGATAACATAATCCAACATAATGTTGTGCCAATAGATGATCTTGCTTTGACGCTTTAATAAATAAATTAAATGCTTGATTAGGATTTTTATTAGTTTCAATTCCTACATAATCAAAATATCCAAGTAAGAAAATAGAATCCAAATCATTTTGATTATCTAACAACCAATTATAAATTTCTTGATATTTTATATTATGACCATCAAAATGATCAAAAATATATCTATACGATTCTTTTCCATCCTTTTCTAATTTAAAGATAAATTCTACTATTTCATTAATTATTTTACTAAAATTCTTTTCGGATTTTTCAGATGATAAAGGTATTATTTCTTTTGTATCTATCATATCAAAATTTTGTAATTGAAGATCTGGTTTAATTTGGTGATTTTCTGTTATCATGCTTGTTTTTGTAATCATTGCTTTTAATCTTTCTACCACCTGGTCAATAGTGGGTCGATTATCTGGCTCACTATCCCAACAATCTACAAAGAGTACATATAATTTAAGAAATAATTATAATATATCAGATATTGAATAAAGTTTAAGTACTAATTACCAGTATAAAGTTTTATATAAATTTCAGGTGTATCAGGAAAAGGATCTTCTCTACGGCCTTCTTTGATTTCTATAGCCAAATCAAGATCATAATCTTCAGTAGAAAAGGGAGGTTTCCCGCTAGATATCTCCCATAACAGTACTCCAACACTGTAAACATCGTTTTTTTCGTTAAATGAAGATAAATGTGTTGAATTTTTATTATTTTTTTTTTTACCGAATCTTATTGGATCAACGTAAGGAATTATTCCAAATAATTTTGAATTTTTGGATGATGATCCAATTCTTTTTGATAACCCAAAATCGGCCACCTTTACTGTGTTTCTATGAACCAATATGTTACCTGAATTCTATTATAATTAATATATTTAAAGTTAATAATAATTACAAAAATAAAAATTTCAATTAAAGTAGAAATAAATACCAAATCACGATGTACGATCTTTTCATTATGTAGGCATGACACAGCACAAGATAACTGGTAGGCTAAGTTACATTTATTATCCCAAGTAAGATTATTGAAGTTTTTCTTTAAATAATCTTTAAGGGTACCAGAATCGGCATATTCCATAACTAATAAATATCTTTTTAATAGGTCATCATGATTGTCTAACGAGTTAAAAGAAATAATTAAAAAATTAATTTTAGAATACCAAGTCAAATAACATATTTTTGATCTTGAATTAGATTTTTTATTATGTGCATTTAAATATATTCTTCTTTTTGATTTTGTGAAATTATATATACATATCATACCTGACTCAAATTTTGTAATTCCATAGTACTTAACAATATTATCATGAAATTGTATTTCTCTTTGAAGTTTAAGCTATATAATGAATATAAAATTAATAAGTATATATTATAATTATCGAAATGAAGTTATTATATTTTCTTTAATTACCTCATGTACAATTTCTTTTACAGTGGCGTTGTTAAGATTAAAAAAAGATTTCAAAGCTATATATTGTTCTGAATTTTTCCAATTTGCACGATAAACTTTTCCGAATGCACCTGAACCAATCTCTTGAATATTACTAAAATGTTTGTATTCATAACATTTAAAATATTCTTTAACAATGGCCTCTTCAATCCAATTAACCCATTCATTTGTATTTTCAGCATCCTTCAATTCGATATTATTAGACATTGTTATGAATGACAACAAAGATTATTTGTCGTACGAAAAAAAAATGTAACCTATTTATATGAATTCTGGTACCACATGATATACTTTGCCGATCTATACAATCACGAGATCGGATTCCTAGTTCCGAAGAATGGAAAAGAACCAAGATTTGTAAGTATATACGAATCTTGGTTTTATTTTTTTCTTTTTTTTAAAAAAAATATTATGAACGGTTACTAATAACCGTTCTTTACTTTTTTTTTAGGACCGGTTGTTAATATTTAATTATTTAATTGTATTTTTATTTGCATCATGCTTTCTATATATAATATGATAGGATGTAATAGTAATTTTTTTTTTTATTATACAAAATTATCGTTTATTTTTTTCTTAAAAAATTATTTTTCCAATATTGAATAAAATTTTGAATATTTAATGCGTTAATGGTGTAAATTCATTCTAACAGAGAAAGTTCAATTAATTTAAATGCAAAATTTACAATTCTCATATATAGAAAAATCAGAAAAGTGAGCCGTGTGGCGTCTAATCGTCACTTACAGTGTGACGCTCCCAATCCATTCCGACTTTCTCTTTCCATTTCGAAGGTTATTAGTTGCTGATTAATAAATATTAAAAAAAAATTCTTTTATTTCTTAATCAGGATTTACATAATTTGCCTCAGCCAATGTACCCTCTCATCTGTTCCAGGCTAAACCTAAGATGAAAAAGACGAAAAAAAATAAATTAATAATTATTTAATAATAAATTTTTTTATTCTCAAAAATAGAATGACTTGCCAGTTTGCCGCAGTTGATGTTTCATCGGGATGTTCTGAACTCGAACTTGGAGTAAGAATGAAAAACTTTTTAAAAAAACAAAAAATAAGAATTCTAAAAAAAATCTCAGTTCAAAAAACTGAAATGAAATGAATAACATTTTTTTAAAGAAATGAGCGAAAATATTTTTTAAAAAATATTTCATTTCAAAAAAAATGAAAAATAAAATAAAATTAAAAAAATTAAGAATCTTTCGGTTCAAAAACTAAACATTTTTTTTTTAAAAGAAATTAAATTGTAAAAAACATACAAATTACACTATATAATTTTTATGTTCAATTCTATTAAGCTACTTCCCTTTTCAGTATAAATCAACCTAAAACCCCCCTCTACAAAATAACTGCATTAGTAAAATGCTCACGCACTTTTCACATCACAAAAGTCATTTCACGTCGCATACAAACAATAAACTTTTGGAACAAAAACTCATTTTAACCATTTGGAATGTTTACCCCTTGTAGATACTTTCCCATTTATAACCGAAATAACTGATATAGAGGTTTACTGAAAGCTGTGACGTTCCGAGACCTTTTGTTATGTCTTTAGATCGTCATATCATCATGAAATTTTTAGGTAGATACAACAATGTATACAGCTAACGTACATAAACATGTATTCAAAAGCAAACACAAACATATCATTAATCTTTCGTTTATTTTATTTTATTTTATTTATTTTATTTGCCCTATTTTTTTGAATTTTCTTTTAAATTTATATTCATTACTAATCTCACATGAATCAAATTTCTAACTCAGAGATTCCTTCACTTTTATAAGGTTGACTTTACGCTTATTTAGTTAATTAGATAAATTGACAGCATATTTTAGTATAAAAGAAATAGTTGTATTTTGTTAGTTATGAATTATTTAGTTAATATTTTATTTTTATCAAATTAGATTTACTTGGAGTGTTGCGAATTAATATTGTAAATGTTAAAATCTCAATAGATACTTCATTCACCTCGTCTAATAAAATAAAATTCAAGTTCCTAACTCGGGGAATCTTCCACCACTAGGGATGGCAACGGTCACGGTCATTAACCGGTTATGACCGGTCATGACCGTGACCGATATCGGTCGGTCAAAGACCTCTGACCGACCGTTTGACCGACCGGTCTGACCGACCGGTTAACCGACCGTTTGACCGACCGTTTGACCGATCCTGAAAACGTTTGCGAAACGTAATTTAATAAAAAAAATGTTTCGCAAACGTTTTTTTAATTATTTTAATAGAAAACGTTGCGAAAACGTTTTTTATTAAGTATTTCAATTAAATTACGTTTCGCAAACGTTTTCAGGATTGGTTAACCAGTCGGTCAAACGGTCGGTTAACCGGTCGGTCAGACCGGTCGGTCAAACGGTCGGTCGGTCGGTCAAAGGTTCTTGACCGGTTATGACCGACCGATGACCTGTCTCTTATACACATCTAGATGTGTATAAGAGACCTATCCACCACTATACCGCACACCACGATCACGTGACTACTGCGGTTCAGGTATTCATTGACACGCAAACGTCACCTCAACTACTTCGAAATGACTTTTGTCATTATAAAGAAATCTGATTAAACAAATCATTAAAAGAAAATAATGTTCAATATAACGAAAATGAATGTATTTTCTACTATCAGAAACAACATGACGCCAGTTTTATCAGATATCATGCGAAATTGTTTCCCCTCTTTTGATTAATAATTGTTTGAACAAAAATTTTCTTGGATTTGAGTTTCAAAATTCGGAACAAGAGCATTTAGTATTTATTATTAATCAAAAAGAGAATCTCGAATATTATTTAAAGCAACATTTAAACCTTCAATTACTAAACTAATATTAAGATTTTTCATTTATATTTAAATTTATCAGTTTATTAAGTCTTATTATATTTATAATATTTACCAAAGAGGTTGTTGTTGGTACTATACCTAAATATAATAAAGCTTAACAAAATTCTTTATTATGACATTACAGATGAATTTTTTTATACGGATTGTACTTTGTGAACGGTAAAATTAAAATCTATTGTTAATTTTGCGCCTGCGTATAATCACAATAAAAACAACCGATCACATGACAATTATTGTATAATTTGTATAATTTGTATAATTTTCACGTAATTAAATGTCTTGATGTGAATTATTTGTTTCAGGAATATTGTATGTACTGTCAACTGAATTATTTTCTTTTGTTCTTGGATACAAGTAATCGAAAAGAAATTACTTCAAATGAAATTCCAAATTTTCTTTCATCAGAAATCGGGATAATCGTCAGTTTGTTACATATATCCATGCCAGATATATATACGATACATTCATTCCATACATTCATTCTGATCAATTACCTAAAATAGGAAGGAAAATATCTTAAAATTGACATACAGTATATAAGGAATTCACTATTTAGGAAAATATACATGTGGGCTTGTGTATGTGGCGACTTATGGGCTGGTGAATGGTGATATTAAACAAGAAATTATTTCCTACTTGTTTATTAGTATCTCGTGCTTATAATGCTTGCATATTTATTGTTAGTGAAATTGAGGTGTGTATTTAACAGATTTTTATTGAATTTATTTTTTAAAATAATTTATTTTAAATATTTTACTATTTGTAACCTGTCGCGTTGCAACAGGATTAAATGAGTTTAAATCAATATAAAATTTTTGTTTTATATAAGTCTTATAATATTAACATGTTTTTTTTTTATTTTAAGTAAAGAAAATAATACTTATTCTAACTAAAAAAAAAATCAAATAAAGCATATTTATTCAATAAAAAATATTTATTTTGATTATATCGCCAATCCAAACCTTAAGAAAGAGGTGAAAGAACGAAAAAAAAGAAAAAAAATAGAAAAAAACTTATTAAAATAGAAAAATCATGTTTACTGTATGTAAGGACTGCAGCGTCAATCCGACCTGTAAATTTTCTTTAGTTGTTATCTACAAATTATTAATGTAAAATTGTTAATATTATTAGTAAAATTAATCATGTGGAGAGCAAGTTAATATAATAAATGAGTACTTCGGTTGAGTTTAGTGAAATCTATTACTTCTATGGATTTTAGAAATTAAAAAGACGAAATAAATAATAACGATAATATACTCATACATAAAAAATATATGTATAAAAATAACATAGAAGTATATTAGTATAGATTATTATAAAGAGAAACAAACTAGGATAAAAATATTAAAATTCAGATTTAAAAAAAAATCGAAAATAAAAATTATTAAAAATCTCGATTATTATTTATTAAATAAAAATTGATTCAGTTTAAAAAAGATCTAGTCTAGAAAAACGTTCGGATAACTACGGTAATCAATCTGCTGCAACTGATCGCGTCAAAAGCTGAATGGCCGAAGATGAAACATGATTAGTAAAAACAAATTAAGCTTTTTTTCGTCAATTAGCAAAAAAAATATCCGATTAAAATTTGAGCCAATCAAATCATTCAAACCATAATAATTATGGAATAGATCAGACACAGCCGAATCACGCTTCGCCTAAACGTTACAGTTACACACCAATTTCTTTAATTATATAGATTAATTAATAATAAATGGAAACAATGAAGAGAGAAAAAATAATTTTTGCATCTGCATCTTCATTAACTGCAAGAAAAATTTGATTATAAAGTTTAAGCTATTAAAATTTGAGATAAGATTGATGGATTTCATAGTAAACTGTAAAAATCTCGTTTTCATGTTGAGCTTTTTTGATATTAATAATAAATATTAAATTCAGGTTTTTTTTATTGAAAAACGTGACTTTGATTATTTACCCACATCTAGGACGAGAGCCACTATTTCTAGGTATTCCTTATATCGCTAAGAATTAAATTAGAACGTTACATAAGTATTTTAACATATTTCAGTTAGACGAGAGGACTTTTTGTTTATACCACCATGGCACCCGGATAATTTCTCTTTTTATCTATAATTATATATAACGGTAAGTATGACTTTAAAAACATAAATACACACAAAAATTCATAAAATACTTTTTGTTTATAGGTAGCTTAAATTGTTGATTACTTCATTAGTTACAAATTAGCATTATCATAGTTTAAAAATTGTGATCGAATTAATATTATGACCTTTTAACCTATTCTAATTCTTAAAAGTTTCGGAAACATACGTGAAGAAGTTAATAAGTTTGATTATTCGCTTGATTAAAGTGAAACCAGCAGTTATTTAAAGTAAGCAAATCGTATAATATTAAATGTCAAAAAAAGTACCAAACAGTTAAGGCCAGCACCAATTTAACTAAATTTCAAGAGGAACGTTTTAAAAAGAAATAATGGCGAATAGATTACATAATAAAAGGCAAATTGATACAAGGTCGATGGTTCCAGCTGAACTCACATTAGCGGTATAATAATAAGAAAGACCTTCAAAATGATAAAATCGGTTTCTTAACGGATATACGAAAAAATGGGTACAGTTACGACGGCTAAATTTCGGCAAACAGAGGGTCTTCTTAGCTAATTTCAGAGATGAAGATTAATTAAAGGAGACGGTTCGGAAGTTAATAGAAATGGAAGGCCTGGGTCGAAAAAAATTTAACAATCCAAAAAATTAACTTCCAGAATCCAAGATTTCGAACCAGCAGGATATTAAAACAGGAGGAAAAGAAGTATCTGGTATCGGTGGATGAGGTTGTGGACACGGTGACACGGTCAACAAATATTGAAAGGGTTGTTTGTATTTAATTCTGGCCAGAATTAAATGATCAGCATATAAAATATCCTTTTTTGGAATAAAGGCGAGATTTATTTAAGCATCGCACATAGGGGCTGGATTCAAATTTATCCAAACATAAATATGTTAAAATGTAAATATGTTCAAATTAGAAATAGCTAAAAGAAATTTATTTGGAGGTTGTGTAACGATTAAATCCATCTCCAAATTGAAAGATCGTCATCGAGTACTTTTAACGCCAACTTTTTAACGCCAAAACGCCAATATACAGCTAATTTAATTTATTGTTTATAATATAGCTAAATTTAGTAATTAATATTTGAATTTTTTCCATAAAAGTGATTTACTAACATTTCACGTGCCAATTTATTTCGTTTTGAAAAAAAAAAAAATGAAAATTGTTACAAATCTTGTGTTACAAATCAGATTATTTACATATCATATTCGTATTCGTATAAATTTTATAATCATATCTATCTCAACGATATTTATACGACGTCTCATAATAGCGTCTGTAAAAAGAAATATATAATATATACATCATAATTAAATCCAGATAAATAAATACATATTCCAAACAACTTACACTATAAACGCAAAATGACCGATTCAAGTTCTTTAGCTCCTATTTCTCACGATGATGATAGTTTCAATATTTTATCAAATGTTGATACTATTGTAGAATCAAATGAAAATATGTCTCATGTAACATCTCCTTCTATTCAACGACATGATGACAAAATTGATATTAATCAAGAAAATGTTGTTATGTCAGAATTCTCATTCTTTTATAGACCATGCAACGATTTTCAAATTTATCATGTCGTCTGTAAAGAAAAAACTTCTGACGAAATTGTATCTCGATTATTAAATAATTGCTTATATTCATCTCATTATCTTTTTTCAAATGATCTTTTTGTGTTCTATTTTCAACAACCGAATGATAAAAGAATTTACCAAATAACCTGCGAAATGGTTCCACATTCATTTATTCTTAAGTATTTAAATTTAAATATTTATGGTATCGAACTAAAGCAAGATGAGCATCGACAGCAACAACAACAACAACACCAAGAATTTTCCGATAGACACAGAGAAAATTTGGAGTTTCATTTGAAACAGTTTCTTTTTGATTATTTGACTCCAAAAGAAGATAATTTTATCGATGAAAATAATTTGTGAAATTAATTTTGTGAAGAACCTCACGATTTGTAGCAACAATAGTGAAACAAATGTTATGAAAATTTTTTATTATTATTTTTAGACTTGTTTTATTTTTTTATATTTTATTTTTGTTACTATTGTTTTTATTATTTATTGTTTTTATTATTATTTCTGAGATTTTAAATAAAAATTCATATTTTTTAACGGTGGATTAAAACTTTAACTTTGAATGTAATGGATGTACTAAAGATATGCATGATAATCGATCATTATCAATTTCAAAAAGTTTTAAATGTTTCTTTACAAATAATCTATATAACTAAAAAATACATAAAAAAATCGTAACGTTTAGACTAGCATGTATAAATAGTTTTGAATTGTGTAATATATTTTCTGCTTGCGCCTGGTAATCTATTCCATGTTAGCGTAAGTCTTTATTTTCTAGATTATTTAGGTATGAATTCCAAATTGCAGATCATCAATATTGTTACCGAAATTAGAACATTGTTTAGATCATATGTATGTTGTTATATTTTTTTTTATAGACTAAACCCATTTTTTTTACGTAATTTTTTTTATATAAACATTTTTTCCCCGTTAAGACCTTTTTTTGTTATTGATTTTTTTATGATATACTGAAATACAACTAATAAAATATTTATTAAGGATACTGTATATGCAAAAATTATAGCAAAATTATGACTGTTACATTTGTATGTGTTTCTTAATTTGTATATTTTGCAATTCTTAGTATTTGAAATGTATATAAATTTGGTTATGGTTTATTGCAATAAATCTATATAACTAAAAAATTTCTCTGACGTTTGGATTAGTCTCTGTATAAATAATTTGAATTGTGTAACTTGAAACCCATGCCATATAATTAAACCCGTGGCATGCCTCCGCTTGATCTATTTATGGTCAAAAACTATTCGATCTAATCGGAATTATTTTTTTGATCATTAATTTTTTTTGTCCAATTTTTTTTTCTCCCTTTTATTCTTTCAGTTTAATTTTTTTTTTCAACCGAAAAATTTGTTTTTTCTCATTCTTTTCCCGTTTAGGTTTAATTTTTTTCCCAAACTGAAAATTTTTTTTTTTTTTTATTAAATAATCCCTATTATTTTTTTTTCGATCTTTTTTTTTTAGACAGTATTGTTATATTTCTTTAAAAAAAATTTCGCTCTTTTTGGATCGGATTATTGTCCTTTTTTCAGAATTTTTTTTCGTACTTATTTTTTATTTTCGGATTCCTTTTTTCGGAAATTTCCCTTTTTTAAAATGATTTCTTTCTTTATCCTTTTTCCTCACCCAAATTTTTCTTAAAATTTTTTTTTTTCTTTTTCTTTCAATTTTTTTTATTATTAAATAAAAATAAATATTATATTAAAATATTTACAAAATTATTATTTTTTTAAAAAAAATCAATATAACATATAGGAAAATTGACCGACGTTGATAGAAAGATGAGTAAGATTTTTTCAATTAAATTGAACGCTGGATAAATAGTTTGATTTTCAAATTCATAAAAATCAAAAAAAAATTGATATTTTTATATATTTTATAATTAATTAATTGAAGAAATTGTTGATTTAATAATAGATTATTATAACCAAATCTATATCCGAAATTTTTAATTCAAATGGTTTAGTTAAATTAATAATTTATCGAGTAAAATGAGTATCAAAAGAATAATAATAAATGAAATAACAGATTCTAATACATTTAATTGTTCAAATATTTTTCCTAAGTTGGTTATAAGTTTGAGATTGACGTAATATAAAATAATAAATAATTATAAAATTTATAATTAATTAATAAAAATATTTGTAGTATTTTCATAATATTAAAGTTTTTCCGAAAATACTTCTAAAATATTAATTAATTTTTATTGATAATTATTTTTTCAAAATTCCTAATTAATCCGAATTTCATTCTACACTCTAATATTAAATTACTGTTATTTTATTATTTTTTGTTGACTAATTATTACCATATTAAATCCTAATTATAAATAAAAACTACTGTAACCATCTTTAATTTACTTAGTATTACATTATAATACTAAATTTTTTCATTTAAACAAATCATTGGTCCGGTGCGAAGCGATAGGTGACGGCTAGTATTTTATAAATAAAATATAATGAATTTTTTTTTTTTTTAGAAAAATACTCGTCAAATAATAGGTTTGGAATCTTGTGAAATTATATTTGTATTATTTTTCAAATATAACTTGCACAATGGTCGGTTTCTTTGTTGCCGGACCTTTTTAATATTGGACTTGTCAATATTTTCAGATAAATTTGAGCCAACAGAAAGCCTTAGTTTCGATTCACCCCAGCCAAATGATCGACATAGTTTCTAAGCTAAGTGGGCGTGCACTACATCCTAGCTTATAAACTGCCCATGGGCCAGATTAGCCC